CTAGTCTCACACTGCTAAATTAGGGACGGCTACCGCAGATAGCCCTCGTGTAGCTTTGCGCGAAATTAAAAAAAAACAAAAACAAGATTGAACCGATCTCGAATATAAAAATTAGGAAATAAATATATATTCTGCTTTTTTGTTCTAGAATGACTACAAGTTATAACACGAAAACATAAATGTTTAGACTAAATAGTTTAAATATCATAACATTATACACTTGTATATATATTTATTATTTTTATTATATTGACCTTTCAGCTGTGCCTGGCTAACATTACAGAACTTGTAATGATGCAGCACACAAGAGACCTCTGTCTTGGCTGTGTTTTAGTAGACAAGTATTTAGTAAAATACAGTAACATTTCAATTATTATACATTATACACAGATTATTATTATTTAGAAATAAGTTATTAAACTTATTTTTCTTAAAACATAGAAGAAAATAATTATTTCTTCTAGTTACGACCTTTGTACTCAGATGCTGCTTGATATAGGTCGCTAAGCTTTTTAAAATTTCGCCCGTGGATGATATAAAATGAAATAATTTTTTAAAGGTTTTAAGTATACAGTTGAATAACCAAAAATTCATAAATTACCAAATCGATACCATAGAGTTCCACTATAATTTACCAAGTTTAGTCAATCCTGCTATTTGTTGGTAAAAGAATACCCCAAGAGTTGGCGGTGGGTGGTGATGACTAGCTTCCTTACCTCTGTTATTACAGGTGCGTAATTTCATGTAGCTTAGCGCGAAATTCCAAACAAAGCTGTATTTCGATCTTTGGACTAGACAAAATACACAATGTACCTTCTTGAAATCTTGGTTTGAAAGAATGAGGTAGCTTCCCAACATTTTAAAATGGCTGAGAAAACCACTAGGGAGACATTCTGAGCTGTCAATTGGTTATTCACATATCATACATTGAAGAAAGTGTATACAAAGGACCATTTCCAAAATTGGAAAGAGGTAAGTGGGGCCATTGTGTTTGATTCACTACCTAAACGATATCTCAACAAAAAGAAAAGATACGAGGTTCTTATTTTATGTCATAGCTTATAAATATTGGTAAAATGAGTTCCTAACTCGTAAGAAACTATAAACTTAGTTCTTTGACATGAGAAAACTATAATTTGAAGCAATGCTTGCATTCAACATACCACGTGGCACACAAAAATCGATGTTTCACTGTGTTTTTTAATATTTACTTTTAAATTAAAAAATTGAATAATGTACAATACTAAAATTTGAATGATAATCTAGTTTGATACCAAACTTATTGACATAAATTCATGAAATAGTAATTCAATAAAATTTCCAATGCGAGTCAACAAACGCGATGACATAACCTTTGGCAAGTTACATTACTCGGTACATGCATGCACAGGTGCGTGTTTGGGTAATATGCACAAGTTCCATATTGATACATATGTTCTCATGGGCTTACTTTCGTACATGCACACGCAGGTGCATATTTTGCTACATGCGCTCGCAGTTGCTTATTTTGGTACATGCGCGCACAGGTGTCTATTTTCGTATATGCGCGCGCAGGTACTTAATTTAGTACATGGGTGTGCAGGTGCGTATTTTCGCACATACGCGCGCAGGTGTCTATTTTGGTACATGCACGCGCAGGTGTCTATTTTGACACATTCGCGCAGGTGCATATTTTGGTACATTTGCGTAGGTGCGTATTTTCATATATGCGCGAGCAGGTGCGTAATTTGGTACATGCGCTCGCAGGTGCGTATTTTGGTACATGCGCGCGCAGGTGCCTATTTTGTTACGTGGCATGCAAGTGCATAATTTGGGACATGCGCGCGCAGGTGTCTATTTTCGTACATTCGCGCGCATGTACAAAAATAGTATTATACATTATTTAATTTCTAAATTTAAAAGGAAATATTAAAAAACACAGTTAAACATCGATTTTTGTGTGTCACATGGTATGGTGAATGCTGCACTGCTTCAAATTATACGTTTGTGATAAGGGAAACAATCCCTTATATACACTTTATTCAACATATGGCATGTGAATAACCAATTGACAGCTCAGAATGTCCCCCTCGTGGTTTTCTCAGACATGTTCTCAAGATTTCGAGCAGGTAGATTGTCTATTTAGTCTGCTCTGAATTTCAAATCTTTTAGTTCGAAATACAGCTTTGTTTGGAATTTTGCGCAAAGCTGCACGAGGGCTATTTGCACTAGCCGTTCCTAATTTAATATTGGGAGCTAAGGAAGCTAGTCATCACCACCCACCACCAACTGTTGGGGTACCAACGAATAGTGGGATTGTTCCCATGGGTGAGCATGTTTGGTGGAATAGGGATTCGAACCCACGACCCTCAGATTGGAAGTTGAGTATCCTAACCACCTGGTTATGCCAGGCCAAAATACAGTTAGTTACTACAATTGATAATTATAGTGGAATTCTATGATATCGATATAGTAATTTATGATTTTTTTGGTTATTCAACTGTATACATAAAACCTAAAAAAAAATCATTTCATGTCCTCCACATGCGAAATTTTAAAGGGCTTAGCAACCTACGTCAAGCAGCAACTGAGTACAAAGGTTGTAACTAGAAGAGATAATTGTTTGCGTCTATGTTTTAAGAAAAATGAGTTTAATAACTTATTTCTAGATAATAATAACCTATATACATATATAATATATAATAATTGAAATGTTATTGTATTTTGCTAAATACTAGTCTACTAAAACACAGCTAAGACAGGGTCAGTTTGCAAAGACTAAGGTCAATCTTATATTATTGGATAGGCTAACATGAGTGCACATACGTCGTGTCATTACAACTGTTACGTCTCTGTTCGTTTGTTAATTTTCCGTAAAAATTCTTTCCGAAGAAACTTTAGCGATACAGTCCTTTCTTAAATAAAACTAGTTTATTCTTTCTGAAAACAACTTTGCAATACACTTAATTTCCACAGTCACGCTATAATTCACAACGAACGACTCACGTGCTCGACTCAATTGTCAGTCTCTATCTCTGTCTGCAGTTCAATTACCATTCCATTGTTGCCGTCACTTCTTGGCGGTCTTATATACATGAATACCGCATATTTAGTAAACACTCGAGCATTCACGAACCTTCGAGAATATGACGTGTTACTAGCGTCACGTGACCCCCGCTGTCGTAACACAACTTTTGTAATGTTAGCCAGGCACAGCTGAAAGGTCAATATAACAAAAATAATAAATATATATATATAAATGTATAATGTTATGAGATTTAAGTATTTAATCCAAACTTTTATGTTTTTGGGTTATAATTTGTAGTCATTCGAGAACAAAAGAAGCGTAATTTATATTTATTTCCTAATTTTTTGCCCCACAGTGGCACAGTGATATGTCTGTGGACTTACAACGCTAGAATCCGGGTTTCGATACCCGTGATGGCCAGAGCACAGGTAGCCCATTGTGTAGCTTTGCGCTTAATTACAAACAAACAAATCCTAATTTTTTATGTTGGTTACGAGATCGGTCTAATTTATCGAACCCGTAGATATTCATTAGTGAAAATAACAGATAAAATATAAAGTTTTTCCTTAAGAAACGTTTGATAACTATAAGCATTTCGCATGTGAAATGTGAACATTTTCTGATGCATAAAAATATTTTTAATTTTAAAATAAAAATTACTTTGCAAGTTGGATAGGCAAATTGCGAAAATAAATAAAGGTATGAGAAAAACATTGCTTAACAAACCTTAAAAATGAATTTTATATTTTGTGTATGAAAGCATTCTAATGTTAACTGATAATCTGCCACATTTCGTTACCATACGCTTACTAATTTAAAAGTTATAACATGAAAATTATAACAAGCACAAAATGGTTACACGGTTGATCCAACAGACCGAACCCGTGCTGAAAGGGCTAAAGTGTTTCTTCATATAAAATTTGCCGCGTATAGGATTACTACGCTAAAAGTCGGCTTTCCATACTTGTGGTGGGCAGAGCCCAGAGAGTTCATTGTGTAGCTTTGCGCTTAATAACGTGGGATTTCGAAAATAACTGCCTTACTCTCACTAGAGGGATTATGTCGACGTTACAAATGTGATATCATGTGTTATATACGCTGGTGAACCTTGCACTTTTAAATTACGCTAAACGCTCTCCTTTTTAAAAGTTTCCGAGATAGATTTTTTGGTATGTACATGTTTGATTTGTAATTAACTAGTAGAAAGTTAGCATCGTAGAATGCATTTATTCTGAAACAACCAATTTTGGGATGTGCCGAGATCTTACCAATTATTATGCCGAAATCTTCGGCATACGTTAATAATGATACTGATAGGCTGTGGCATTGTGCCCGTTCACGGCTACCAGGCATCGTTCGTTACGTTGCCGTAGCTCAGGCTGTCTAGGCACTTGCACAAGTTATAGTAGTAATAGTAAGAGCATAAATATAAATGTGAAATAATAAATAAATGCGGATACCACAAAATATAATGTTGTTTGTACTATAGTATGAGTGTTTACCAGTTGTGTTATGTTTAATACCAGTGTTGATTCCACAATCTAGTTCCTATGTAAAGTACTTAGTGTAAAACACACTATTTTGAAATCATATTTATAAATTTTAAATGATAATAACTTTAACATTTTGTGTAGTTTGATTGTGCATTATTTGCTCATCACCACGTTATTTGGTTTTCTGATAATTTAACATGTATATTTATATGCGATTGTAGTTACATTTTGTAATTTTAGTGTTCATGTATTAGTTTTTAGCTGAGTACTTAGTATCAGAGTATTAAATTTGTTAATTGTTTATACGTATGTCAGAAATTTCTGATGAATGTAGTGTTTGCTCTTTAATTATATTGTGTATTTAGGAGGGAGTATATCTAAAATAGTATAGAATTTTTAATGGTTTGCATGTGTATCAATGATAGTAATAGAAATATTGCTGTTATTGTGTAAAGAGAAAATGAATAAAATATATTACAAGCCTTAAACAGTAGTAGTTTGTAGGTCTACATCAAAGAGAATAATTCAATACATAGTGTGAAGCAAAAATAAAGACATTGGTTTACAGTATCACTAGGTCTACAGAGTTAAAAATAAAGTTTCCTAAATCTTTATATCTTGGACATTAAAGGAAATCAGTTTTGTAAAGTTCAGGAGGATTTTAACCTTGTGCAGGACACCTATTTTGGGAAATACCTCAATCGGGTGACCATGCAAAGAAAGTGTGTACCATATTGGGAAAAGTAATTTGGAGTACCTCATCCAATGCAGCATATTTTTGTGTATGTATACATAAACTGTTTGTGCATTAACATCACTAAGATTGAAAATGTTGATTTGTATGGAAGTCATTTTGACCTACAAAGATTGTGACTTGGGTGAGAATGTTTAAGAAGAAGAAATTGAATTCTGTTTAATAATTTTTATCATACAAATACAGGAACATAGGCTAAAAGGTTATTTACTTAAAAGTGTTATCAGGAAAAATAATATTAAGTTATAAAATATTCAGAAACTTCAAGTAAGTAAAATGTAAGCACAATTAATATTTAGTGTACTGTTTCATTTATTTAAAAAAATCTCAGTGTTCCTACAATTTGTCATAAGCTTTCCTGTTTAATTTGCAGACTGTGTTGTGAAGAGTTTTGATTAAGATCTAAGATGACGATGCACATAGACTCCTATGTAAAAGAGGCCATGTACTGAAATGAATATAGAACAATCTCCAGGTTCAACTATAATTCATCGGCGTCCACCAGAAGTACTACTGGACGTTGACATCAAGCATGCAGAGGAAAGTTTGGGATTGGTTGAACAGAAATTAGAAGAACATCATGTACATCACAAAGAAAAGGTTTGTATATAACAAATACATAATCCAAGTTTGAGGTATTACCTATACCTAATCTTTATGCATGCATTTGTTTGTTCTTTTATTATCTAAATTTCACACATTTTCTGCATATTACATATACTAGTTTTATTTATTGTCTTGTACTGGTTATATTGAAAAGTTCAGAACACAAAAGTATACGAAACTTAGAATTATCAGGTTTGATACGTTTGTATGCACTTTTATTTAAATTGTGTGTACATACATAAGAAACTAAATATCTATACTTATTTGTATGTGTAAATTACAAGGTGAAAAATTTAGATATATGTTGATGAACATGAAGTTAATTAATCTCAACATGAGCTAAATGAAATGATTTAAACATTTTGAGTGATGTGAAAAAAGTAAATACCTATTTGGGTATTACATCAAAAGAGACTAGACACTGCATGTCTATGAAAAAAAACAACCTGTTTTAACTAAAGTTGTTGAAGCAGTAAACCCTATTCAATAAGTTTATGTATGGGGAAGGCTTGATTTTAATGCCTTAATTCTACACAAATAGTATTTGTAACAAAATTAAGTGTTGAAAACCTTTAAGTTTTAGAAATGATTATGAGATCTAATTCTATTTGCCACAGCTTACCAACAAAGAAAAAGTCCTCACTTCTCTTACAGCAGGTGCTATGGCAGGAGCTATTGCCAAGACTGTTATTGCTCCTCTTGATCGAACAAAAATTAATTTCCAGAGTAAGTACATATTACGTGTCAGTTAATTTTTCGTCTACAAGCCTTACCTAAAATTGTTTCCAAGAAAAAGTAATTACTCATATATTAATTTGTACAACTATATAAGCTTTATTTTTAAATGTGTAACTTTGATTTTTTTGCTATATATTTTTTAAATTTCTCTCTTCTTTTACATATATGGATTTTTATAAATTTTTGCAGTTTGTTTTCGTACTTTTATTCTTGTTTAGTAGTTTGAAAGAACTGCACCATTATGTATTTTTGTTGTACTTCAGTTTTATTTAGTACAATATTTTTAGTAATGAAATACTTAATGTATTTAATTGATTTAATTTAATTGTATTTATAAGTTGTTGTTTGTACATTAAAATGTTTAATTAATTTTAGATTAGTTGTTGCCATTTTTTCAGGTAATAAGAAATAATGAAAAGTGTTATATAACTCTCATAATCGTACTTTCTTACCTCCCACCCAAAATATTAATTAAAACACATTAATGTTTGTAACTACCTCCACCACTAAGGTAGACATAGGTTCTTTTCAACCCTGTGTGTGTGTTTCTCAGCAAGTTTCCTGAAAATGGATGAATGGATTTGGATGAAAGTTAGTATGAATTTGGACTATGACCAAATTTAGAAGTAATTAGTTTCTTGGGGGATCAAAGGTCAAGGTCACAAAAATCCAAAACATCCTTATCTGTTAACATTAGGACTGATTTTTCCCACTATTTTTGCTCTATACCTCTGTCAAAATGATCAGATTTTGATAAAACTTGTTGGACATGTGTAGAATATTATTTCTCATCGTCCTGCTAAAAATGGTCTGTGCCCATTGATAATGATAGACATACGGACACATTTTTCTTATTTTTTGAGAGCTGAATATGATCAATGCTGTGTGGCTGAGGATAACGCTCTACTGAGTGCCCCCTCTAGTTATTGTTTGACATTATGTTATATGTTCACAACAAACAAACAAGAAAATGTTTATTTGAAAGTCAGTTTGTGTATGAATGCATTTAAATATTTATGTGAATATTATTTTGCCAAAATTTTGCAGGTGGATCTTAAAGGTATAATTTCAGATTAAGGGGAAAAAATTAATGTGTATTTTTCATTTACAGTTTATCTATTCATGCTGAAATAAAACAGATAAGAAGATAGAATCCTTTCGACATCATGGAGGAGGGAGCTTATCAGAAGTTCCCTTCAGTATGAATGCTTTTGTTTTAACCCTGTTTTGGAAATATCATTTAATTGAATTCCATTCTTGTATGAAATTTTTTGTTGTGTGCAAAATGACTTTGATGCAGAGTAGTGTGAAGAAAGCTAAAACATTTTCAAATAATTCATTCTGCTTTTAGTTAAACCATTTTATGTGTTTAACAGTCCAGAATAAGAAGTTCACGTTTCGAGAAGCTTTCCAGTTCCTTATTGAAAGCTACAGGTCAGCTGGTATCCTGAGCTGGTGGCGAGGGAACTCTGCTACAATGGCCAGAGTCGTTCCATACGCTTCCATACAGTATGCTGCTCATGAGCAGTGGAAGCGAGTTCTACAAGTTGAAACTATTGTACAGAAGTAAGCAAACTTAAAGAATAGCATATTTTGTTAGGAGGCTTTATGTTTATTATTGCAAAATTGAAGTGATAAAAACTAATGATGACTTCTGTAATTTTCAAAATGCTGTTGATAGATTTAGTTTTATTGAATGTCAGAAAAAAAAAAGCAATAATTTTTACATTGTGTAAGAAACTTTGTGAAATGAATTAATCATATTTTACATTTTAAATGGTGTACAAAAGCTGTTATATTGTTGCCCACAGGTAAGCATTTTAGATTATAAAAATCTTTTTAATTTCCAGTATAATAATACATTGATAGATTGCAAAATTAGAGATAAATTTTGGAGTCTAACCAGCTAGCTAAAAATAGCTGCAAAAAGAAATATATCTATGTGATATATTTATTGAAATATTTTTCAGCTTTTTTTGAAACTCAGTGGCACATACCATCACACAGTTTCATTTAAAAAGCTATTCATAAACATGTTTAAGTTATTTTTGCATGAAGAAATATTCAGGAAATACAATTACATTACTTTTTAGAGCTTTTACAGTAAGTTTTCCAAGTAAAGCTGAATTTTTTTTAATTCTTTTACAGTAGTCAACGTGTATTTAGAAACTGTACTGAGCTTAATTTTTCTACAAATACATATATACTTTTTTTGTGAAACTTACTCTGTGTGAAGAGCTACAATTTGGTACATATTTTATATTGTACCTGCAAGCACAAAATTGTCTTGGAAAAAGTATATCGTAATGAATTTGATCTCACAAAAACATAATAATTTCAAGAACTTCATAATTATTAACGGTAGTTTTTTGCTGCTTGGTTATCATATAATTAATTTTCTTGACACCATGAAACATAGTTCATTAATCAATTTGATCTTGTTTTATTGAAAAATATTTTGATATTGTGACTGATGAAATAATTATAGGAAATCCTACCCAGGGAGGTCTTTCGTAGCTGGATCATTGGCTGGTGTTACCTCAAGCACTTGTACTTATCCATTGGACTTGGCCCGAGCTAGAATGGCTGTGACTCACAAAGACAAGTAAATACACTTTATAATTAATTCTAGGCCTGTTTATATGTATTCAGTAAGCATGTATTGTATTTTTTGGGGGGGTGATATCCTTAACCTCCCTTTGTTTTTTTCTTCTTTGAATTCAAGTTTTTTGTTTTTTTTTCACACAGACAAAAGGGATCTGGAAAACACACTGTGAAATATATTTCTAAATCTGTAGTAGATGTTACTATACAATAACATTTTCTCTTGACTTTCAGTCAGATCAGGCTACTTACTTAGAGCAAAATTAAAAATCGACCTGGTTTTAACAAGTATGAACTGTAATAATATTTACATACCACAGTTAACTTTTTTTCAATAGACATATGAGCTGAAAATACATTTTTTCTTCTATTTTTTTAATGTTTTTTTTGGGGGGGAAGGGGCTGTTTGTTGTGTCAGAAATTATTGTTTCAGTATGAAATTGCATACTTTAAGAAATATTACATAATGTCAAACATTTTCCTGATATTTGATGCAGGTAGGTCTAAAAACTTGGACATCCTAACACAATCTTTGCTTCTGTAATGTACAATATAGGACAATTAAAGTTTCTTATTGGCTAAATGTAGAAACAGAAACAATATAAAATGCATGAAAAATGTCTAAAAAAAGATTTATTTATTTTTGTTAAAGCTATAAATAAAAAGTTTCAATTCTGTTGAAGCCTAAATTTCATTATGAAAGTGTTATGATATCAGAGAAAATGTTTTCACACAGAATATCATACAGAGTTTTGTTCTTGGTATTATGGTATTTTTTTTTAGAAATACTTAATTATTTTTTAATATATTTGGTAAATATTAAATCTACAAATAGTTATATCAAAGATGTAAATAGAACTATTATAGATTGATTTTTAACACAAAAAGTGTATGTCTGTTGTGTCATCCTGAAAGCAACAAACTCCTCTCTCCTTTCAGGGGAAATTCAACCCCTTTGTATGTGGATAAATATGTTACATTGCTGTTAGAACAAATTTTTTTAATATAAGTGTATGATTAAAAACAACAACTCATGAAGTATGATGACGATGAACTGTGGTTAAAAGAACATTTTACCATTTCTTCCTGTTGTATCTGCTATTATATTTAGATATATTGTATTATAAATATTGTTTATCTTGTATTTTCATGTATAGTAGTATTTTAAAAAAAACACTAGAAATACCAGGAATTTAACATACATTGAAAAATTAAAAAGTTACTCATTTTAATGAAGATTTTAAAGCATTTGTTACAAGCATATATATATATATTAGGATGGCCCTTATTTTTGACCTGAGCTTTTAGTGGAGCATCCCGGAGATTTGTGAGGATTGGTGAAAACTAACTTGTATCCATTTTTAGCAAAATGCTTTCAAAATTTAGATGTCGCTTCTAAGTTTGATGTTTTACAATGCAGTGGAGAAAGCAATCTGATCCTGAAAGATTGAAGACAAGATCTGAGCCACATGCCTTAAACACTGGGAATACAAATAGGTTCTGTGTCTTTCTTGAGGCTTCATATTTTTGAGCTGATGCTGGAGGCAGTCTTTTTAGCTTCCATGAGAACATCAGTTGGGTCGGTCATCTTACTCCTCAAGTACTTTTGAGAGAAGTGGGGATTCCTGGATAAGAAAAGATTCCAGATTATGATGGATGCTGATACTACAGCTTTCTCTGTCTTGGACATTGAAGAGATATTCCGGACTCGGTAATCCAGAAGCAGCTATATAGAACTTTTGGAGTTGGTAACATTCTCTCTAGGAGGGATGCCCCTTTCAAGACTTCAGTTCATGGCTCCAGGAGCAATGCATCATGCTAGGTGGATCAGGAAAGCCACCTACACTCTCAAAGTCTTCACATTTTAAGGCCAGTTTAACCCCATGATCAGAGAGAAGGGAGCGATGCAAAGAAATTACATCAAGTATGTTACCAAGCACCATTTCCATTGTTCACTCAAAGGAATGACCTGCAGCTCATCCAGTCTCTTCAAGCTTATAAGATTTCAGATCCATAGGTTGTCAACATTACACCGAAGAAGTTTATTCACCATCTTTTGTATTTGTCTGAGAAACTTGTCTCTCTCGTCTTCTTTAATGACAACATGTTCGTGGAGACCAAGCACTGTATGTTCAAGCTCTCAAGAACTGCAGGACCATATTTTGGTGGTCAAGGAGAAGAAGAGGAGATTTTCTGATGCAAAAGAAAAGCACCCTCATAAAAGCTGTAGGAGTGAATGTTGTGTGATTCTGTAATATGGGAGCATACTAGCAGTTGTCAAGCAATTCATTTTCTATCTTTCTGTAATACGTTTGTTTGTAATAAATTTGTTTTTACTTCCTTTTTCTTCAAGTTTTCAGAGAATTTGCATTATGTATGCAGCTTTTTGTTTGTTTGGGTAGTTTGTTGTATGTGTGATCCACACTGTACAACACAGCATCGTAGGGGAAAAAACTTCACAAGGACCAGTAGCAACCCCTTAACATGCTTTGAACCTTGTCTATTTTAATTTTCAGTCAATCCTCATAAAAGTACAAGATGTTCCAAAAAAATTACAATTATTGATTTTTACCCTTCTGGATAAGGGCCACTCTAGAACATATTTAGTGTTTAGTAGAGTTAGGTTAGGGCCACTCTAGAATATATTTAGTGTTTAGTAGAGTTAGGTTAGGGCCACTCTAGAATATATTTAGTGTTTAGTAGAGTTAGGTTAGGGCCACTCTATAATATATTTAGTGTTTCGTAGAGTTAGGTTAGGGCCACTCTAGAACATATTTAGTGTTTAGTAGAGTTAGGTTAGGGCCACTCTAGAATATATTTAGTGTTTAGTAGAGTTTGTTTTGTTTTATACAGGACATTTATAGATATATTTGTCTTCGAAGTTTTTTTGTAATATCTATTGACATACATTACTTATACATAACTTTTGTGTGTGTGTTTGTATGTTGATATAGGTATACGACTCTTGCTCACGTGTTTTTAAAAATTTGGAAAGAAGAAGGAGCTCGAACATTGTACAGGGGTTACTCACCTACTGTTTTAGGGGTAATCCCTTACTCAGGGACTAGCTTTTTTACCTATGAGACTCTGAAAAGGTTACATTATGGTGAGTTGTTGAACTATTTCATGTTATGATCCTCGTTAGCTGTTGCATGTGATGAATTGTTTTAGATTGCACTGCACAAGATACAGCTAGTTGGCTGTTCTATGTATTTTAAGCTTAGAGCTGTTTGAAATTTAACATATTTTTTGCAAGTTGAAGAAAAAGTATTTCAAAAATGTTATTAATAATTTAAACTCTTCATTAAACCTCAATTAGAATGGGCATTTGTCACATACAATTTCTCCAGAGTTCTTATCATAGCCATTGGACCTAGTAAATTTTATCTTATCAGGACCTGTCAGATTTATTGATTTCATTATGACTTGCTATAAGAACAAAAAACAACAACATTACAAGAATCAAATATGAGAAATAACCACTGTTATTCAGTCTCTAAAATCTCATAATTGTGGACGTTTAACAACAAACAAAACTACTGCACATCTGATTTTAGACCCGTGTTTGAATGCTACGAGGCTGCAACCACGTGCCAGCTTGTGGCCCTGTCTGTGGTGTTATTTATATACATCACGTCATTTGACACATTCCTGTAAACCTAAATTGAATGTACAGTTTGTGTAATCAAAGTAAAAGCATCAGTTGTATTATAATTTTTTCATTTATGTGATATAATTTCAGAGTTTTTTTTTATTGACTCTTTCGTTGCAAAAGAGAATTAGAGGCTTCCTCAGATCCAATAACATGATCTGAGAACTGTAGTTTTGAGCATTATTAATAGCCCATCTATATTTATGGTAGGAAATGGAGCTGTTTTGCTCAACCAAGCAATGGATACAAAAATCCTTTATATTTAGATATAGTTTTACATGTTATATAGCAACAGATATGAAAGTTCTTTACACTTAAGTATGGTTTTACATGCTGTTTCTAGTGGTAGTTGGCTGGTTAAGTTCTGACATATCCTGTCACTTGTGTTTATTTTAATGGTTGTAATGTGCCGGAAAAATGACTTCTGTTTAAATTGTAAATTAGATTTTTAATCATTAGTCCTTTCATACATGTACTTAGATATAAGAAAAAGCTGGACTGTTGAAAGTACCTTGATATAGTTTATCGCTAAAGATTTTTCATAGGATTTAATTGCAAAAGAAAGATAGGACTTTTTGTTAACTTCATACTCGTTAATTTTTCTGATAATATTTCTCTACTATATTTATTTTTTGAGATTCTCTTAGCAAAGCTTTCAAAAAAGTGTTTGTAGTTAATAGTGCTAGCTTCCATACATACTTTTGATCATTCTGTTCAGGTTGATATAATTTTACTAAGAAATATAAAGTATAGTATTTTCTTTTTAGCACTGACTTATGTTAATGATATTCACTGAAACAAACACGTACATAGCGTGAAATTAAGATCAGCAACCAATGAAAAAATCCTAACAATATGCAAGCAGTTATCAGTTACCAAAGATGTTTGTTTTGTTTTTCATTTGGATTCTATATTCTCAGCTTTGACTATTGCACCAGTAGCTCACTACTTAATGTCTTATTTTCGGACATTTGAGCACCAGAGCAGTATAAGAAAAATTAAATGCTGTCTTCTGGAAGGTTTAGATATGAAAGGAAAAAACCATTGTATAAAGAATATGTCTGATAATGAAGAATGGCATTTTTAGAAATTACTTCATCATATTTCATTGATGAACAAATGGAATATTGTTATCGTTATTGTACTTAATTATTCCCGAAGTTAAGCACAATATTTGAGTGTATGAGTTTTGTTTCTTTGTACTGAAACTTAGATATATGTATGAGTTTGTTTTCCATAAATTAAAATATGTGAATGAGATGTTCTCCTTATTACAGAATATACTCAAAGAAATGAACCAAATCCTGCAGAGAGGCTTGTGTTTGGTGCTTTGGCTGGCTTGTTAGGTCAGACTTCCTCCTACCCACTAGATATTGTTCGCAGGCGGATGCAGACGGCAGTTGTAACAGGCCGAAGTTATCGAACAATTAAAAGTACTCTTACTATTGTATTGAAAGAAGAAGGTTTGATTGGTGGTCTCTATAAAGGATTGAGTATGAACTGGGTCAAGGGTCCGATATGTGTTGGGATCAGCTTTACAACTTTTGATCTCCTCCAGAAATTCTTCAGACAGCTTCAACTTTTTAGAAACAGGTAACACTCAGTACCGCTGTTGTGGAGACTAGACCTCATGATTGTTGCACCTGGAAAAGTTTCATTTAGATATGGAAAATAAGTTTCCATAGTTTAATACAAGTGTTGTTTCATACACTTAGTGAAGATGACTCGTCTAGTGTGGTAAGCATGAATGCACTCGATCAGTCATTAGTTTTCATAGCTGTAGCTGTTGTTTCACACACACACACACACACACAGTGAATATGATTTGGCTGATTAAATAAACATGATTGAGCTTGAGTCATTTAATAGGTTACATAGTTCCAGCTGGTTTAACACACTCGCTTAGCTTAATAAACCAGACGGTTGTTGAATCATTCATTACATTTTAGACAAAATATGTTGTTTTTTTTAATTGTGAAATAATCTGTAGTTGAGATAATTAAATACAAGAATATTGTTACATAGTTCCCCCTTACTTTTTTATCTAGTTAAATCAACTTTACATTGTTGCCTTTTTTTGAGTTGTAAGATAATTTTTTCTCTTTAAAACACATATATATATATATTTTCCTCATGAGAGCATTGCTATTAAAATATGATATTAAAGCAGGGGTGAATTTCAACTGGTACATACCAGTACCAGAATAAAAATGTTTTGTACCAAATTATAAATATGGTACTAAAATACAATTTTTAAATTACTTAATACATTATTGAATTATAAAATAGTTTTAAAAATTATAGAACTGTGGACTGGTGTATATTTGCATATTCACATACTTTGTTCAGGCATAAAGTTTTACCCAGCATTAAAGGCGTAACATAATCTTTAAAGTAAAAGGTTAAACTGGTTCACTTAGCTTGATGCACCACAAATTCATACAGAATTTGTAAAGTTTTCCAGCTTAAACAATTCCAAAATTATGAATCTGTTTTTTCCTTAGATTATTTATAGTTTTATTTTTGTCATGACTGTACCTTAATAACACAGAATTATACTAAAACATTGTTACTTTGGGCGAGACTTTATGATCAAATGTTTTGATTAACACAAAAAAATGAGAATTTTGGCTTTTCAGTCTCTCTGTTTATATAAACAATATAATATTAAGATAATTACAAATCATTGTTTATCAGATACTGATTTGACTAATAATCATTTCGTTTATTGAAATTAAACTTAAAGTTTATGTTGACTATATATATATATATATATATTCATAAATGAAGAAGTACAAAAAGGTTGAATTCATTGTAAGTGATAAGAACAAATATTATTAACATACCTGTGTAAATATACTAAAGTGTAATGTAATTAATATGGAACTTTTATTAATTGCAGAAAAAATGCAATCTAACGTTTTCAGTTTTTTTATCTAGAGGACTGGTACTAATTTAACATTCAAAGGGGTATGGTTGATAATAAATATGTCTATAGGTGCGTATCAAAAAGTTGGCTGAAAACACTGTGGGGGACTTTAAAGGGGTATGGTTGATAATAAATATGTCTATAGGTGCGTATCAAAAAGTTGGCTGAAAACACTGTGGGGGACTTTAAAGGAGTACGGTTGATAATAAATATGTCTATAGGTGCGTATCAAAAAGTTGGCTGCAAACACTGAGGGGGACTTTAAAGGGGTATGATTTCTAGTAAATATATTTATAGGTATGTATTAGATAGTTGGCTGAAAACATTTGTCTTAAAAACAAAATATTACACACACATCACAACTCAAATTATGTGAAAGTTTGTAATACAGAATCGGGTTTCGATACCTGGGGGGGGGGGGGCACGGTGCAGATAGCCTGTTGTATAGCTTTCCATTTAAACACAAACAAAATCAAGATTGTTGAGCTTATTTACCTTTCCTTTTTTTAAAAGTTTTAGTAGGAGCTATTGAACAGAAGAAAATTCAAAATATTGTTTACCTGTGTTTCACAGAGTTTTAATAAAACTCTTACTTCCTCTAGTCATTTGTTATCTGGATTTGATTCTACCTTTTTTTCTAAACACTTCATTACCTAAATTGACCCAACTTATTTCCCCCAAATTATCCTTTTTTCAAGAATATAAAGATAAAGTAAAGAAATCAGAGTATGTTACAGAAAATAATGGCAATAAGTTCAATATGGTAATGTTCCAAATCCTACTTAGATTTTCAGTTAACTTTTTTTGTGTCCATGAACCTCAGCTTGACTGTTGTGTCAAAATTCCCTGGTCATTACAATGAAGAAGGTAGACACACACTAAGAGGAAATAAACCTATAAAGCCGGACACAGTTAACCAACCACCTAGGATCTTACGTTTTATTCTGTCAGTACAAAATTGCTAATCACATCGTATTTCATGTTTGGGGGGAACAAGAATGCATCAAGTTTTAAACTTCTGTAACATGTTCCTGTAGTGTTTTCACAAACATTCTGATCAATTTTATGTACATCTTCATTTATCTAAAATAAGCTGAGAGACCTCTTTTATTTGTAGGGTAATAGAATGTAAATATTATCAAGATTTGTTTTTGAAATGTTATCCAAACTTTCCTGTTCTTTTATAACTATCCCAATAACATTTTAACAGGATCATCTAATAAAGAAAAACTAACATTTATAGGTATTATACTTGATCAAATTCTAAGTACACGTGCAGGAAAAATTATTCATTCCTAACCTTTACAACACTTTCTTGTAATAAAAACCTGTTAATATTCTCACAGTTTATGACAACACCTTTCCCAGCCAATATATATAGATAAACAACATTACCAGTGGCAGGTTTATTCTTAAATACAGTCATTAAAAATATTTTTTTAATATTTATTTTAAACTAAAATTTTATAAACTTTGAATAACTCGAAGGGAAATACGCCTTTTTATGGTGGCACAAAATTCCAAACTCGAGTGGCAATGCTCTTGAGGGGGGGGGGAGGCAGGTATATGCCAACAGCAGTGAAAGAATTAAGATTTTCATCCAAATACATTTATGTACATTACACTTTAAGTTTTTAATTTATTTATTAAAGAATACTGGAGTAAGATATAAGACAGAAATATCTACTAGTTTCACTTTTCAGGTTAGTGTTGACCTATGTACATATTTCATCTTAAAACAAATTGTATTAAATATATACACGTAGCTGGGATTTTAAATTAATTTACTT